CAAAAAGAAATAATAAGTATTCTTTGATTTGAAGTATTAAAGAATAATAAGTATTCTTTGATTTAGCTTAAACGAAGTTCTGGGGTTGGTGCTGACCAAAGTATTGTGGGCTCACTCTTTTTCGAGAATTTTGCAATAAAAACATGGCGGAAAAAAAGTTTCGAGCGACAAAAGAAATAGTTGTTGGATAGCTCACTCAAGTAATTTCAACGTGTCCAACATCCAAAAACGTGCTTATCACATACTAAAATACAATTATGTGGCAAAACGGAATTGTCCCAAACAACCGTAAGTATTTTTGCTCTATCTGCCGGACTATTTTTGTAGATAGAAATTACGAACGGAAGGTTGTATGTAATTTCCAACTGCAAAAACCCTTCAACTGTCAGTTTTATCGCGCGAGATGCCCAAAATCTCGATATTTACCTATAGACCCTTTGCACTGACGTCACCAATCCTTAAAGTGTCCTCCAGATGCTCCCTAACAATATCTATTCGGGTACAACAACCGCATACAGCGCAAAAATTAACCATTTTAATACAAAATTATTATAAACTTTTACAAAATTAGCTTTGTTTACAAAAGTTATATTATGCATAGATTGCTAATTTGTCCTCCAGATGCATCGTCACCGGCGTTGTGACATGTGCAATGGGTCTATACAAGGTCTATACCGTATACTGGCATCACCCACTATATACAGTATAAACAAGAACTTGTGGTTGGAGCTTGACAACTGGACTCTGGAGCTCAGTTGGTTAGAGCGCTGCACCGGAATCGCAGGATGGCCTACAGTTGCATTTTTCGCAGCCGCTCCTGGTCATGTCTGAACTGTATATATATATATATATATATATATATATATATATATATATATATATATATATATATATATATATATATATATATATATATATATATATATATATATATATATATTAACCTTCCACTCGAAATCTACAAAAAGCTTAAACTGTTAGTTCTGTCGAGCGAAATGCCAAAAGTCTGTGTATTCATTGGGTGTATTTAGCAATCTTAACCTTGGTGTTAAATTACTTTCTTCTCTTCACAGAACGCGTACAGCAATTCAAGAGCCGACTTGAACAAGAAGAAAGAGCAAGTAAAAATATACACAGATTGCCGTTTGTGTAAAACTACAATAAAAATATCGTGTAAAGTATTTAAGTGTATTAAACGTAAGAGATATAATATATTAACACTATGAAATAGAAGATGTAAATAAAATTATAAGATGTTGGGAGAGAAAAATGATGTTACAAATTATGTCGTAGCGATCTTAAGTTATTCAAACAGAGAAATCTCTGTTCTTAAAATAAATTTTAATTATGAAATTTGTAGTTTTTGTTGATATATTAAGATTAGACTAAAGGCCCTGCATGTCACACTATTGCGTATGAGAGAAACGTATGAGAAGCGTATAGAAATTAATGAAATAATTTTCATACGATAAAAATCCTTTGAAATGCCAGCGTATGAGTATAGTTCCCGTGACTTACAACTATCATCTGGGTTCATCTTCGTTGCTTCGTGTCCGGAAAGAAAAAGATCTCGGCATCATCGTGACAGACAATCTCTTGTGGAACTCGCATATTCAAATGATAACAGCTAAAGCTAACAAGATGCTTGGTCTCCTAAAGAGAACCTGTCCTTTATTGACGGAAACCAAAATCCGGCGTTCATTATACCTATCGCTTGTAAAGTCGAAGTTATGCTATGGTACTGAAATTTGGTCTCCATCCAATGTCTCCCTCAAAGTCAAGATCGAAAGAATACAACGACGCGCGACAAGATGGATCCTAAGATCAAGAATAGGTGAGATATCATACCAGGAGAGACTTCAGACTTTGGACATGCTGCCGCTGTGTTATGACAGAGAAATCCAAGACTTGGTCTTCTTCTATAAGGCACTATACGGTTACGTAGACTTAGACATAGGCAATTATGTTAGTTTTGTTAGTCATGACCGTTCTCGACTAACCTTAAATCCTAGTCTATTACTTCAAGTGCCGTTATGTAGAACAACTACGTTTAAAAACTCTTACTTTAATCGAACAGTTCATTTATGGAATGTAGTGTGCAGAACTGCATCACCTAATAGTTTCGTGACATTATTTACTTTTAAGAACTTTCTTCGTCGGACTTATTCGTTTTTACGCAATTCAGTTTTTGACGTAGACATGCCATGTACCTGGTCTCTTGTTCAAGACTGTCCATGTCACAGAAACTAAAATAATGTATAGTTCTTTGATTGAAGTAAAGTTCGTTTCGTGTACATGCCCAAGTCACATGTTTTCAAAACCAAGTTAGTTTTATTTTCCGTACAAATTTTCCAAAATCTACATGCATTTTACGTATTTGGAGATCCTGTGGGTATGCGCAAATCGAGCTTTACCTCAACTATAATTTATAGTGTAATGTAATTTTTTGTGTAAAGTTTGTAAGGGAGGTGCCTCGCATGGGCTTTTTCTGACCCGTTTTGCACCTTTCCTTTTGGGAAACACCTATTTATCGTTATTGTTAGTATTCCCAATAAAGTTATAAAGTAGTTCATCTGGCGTACCTCTAGCGTATTCAGCGTGTGCGTAGAGTATGCTTACCGTATAAATCATACGTCCGAATACGCATGAAATTTTTGAGCATGCTTAAAAAAATTTTCTGCCTCGCTGTATGCCAACGTATGCGGCCGTGCTTGTAGTCCAGTCAATCTGTGACCAGAGGTCACAGAAATTGCAATAGAATTTTTTTCAGTGGTAAAATGTGAGGGAAGGTATCCTGATTAACATACTAAAAATCAAAAAAAATCCCTTCGGTGGAACATGGTGAAAATCGAGTTTTTCTTACTTCTACCTATAGAAAACCATTGTGGACAGAATGCTCAAATTTTGAAATCATTTTTAGGCAAATGTAACCTACATTATTGGAAAGCATAGAAAAAAAACTAAAATATAGATCATTAAACGGTTATATTCAATTTACTGGTCAGTTTGTCGTTATTCTAGCTCAAAGTTGGAAAAATAGTGCAAAATTTGCACAAAATACAAATTTATGGCATTTTAAATCTTGTATAACTTCGGCTGGATAGGAAAAAGCAAGATAACGGTTTAATGATTTATATTTTAGTTTTTTCTAAGCTTTCCAATAATGTAGGTTACATTTGCCTAAAAATGATTTCAAAATTTCAACATTCTGTCTACAATGGTTTTCTATAGGTAGAAGTAAGAAAAATAGGTACGCAGTGCGTACATGTTGCATGCCATCTGAAACTTAGCCTGAATACAGACCTTCGTTTTGCTCATCCTAAAATTCGCGGGTGGGAGGCACAAAACGAAGGTCTGATGAAAATCATGTCAAAACGCTGTGAAATCCGACCACCTGGTGGTCGGAATAGCTGATTGACTAATTCACAGGGAAATTGGTTGTGATTGGTTGGTCGCTAAACATGAAAAGATTTGAAAAGATCAGAATATATTTCAACGGTATTCTCAACGCATATACTATGCATACAGTGTAATATTCTAAATATTTTGTGAAGCCGAACGACAAATAGCTAACAGTATCTACCGTCTAAAATGAAAACTAGGGCGAGAGTAGAGCAGACTTGTCAAATACTTCAGCGTTGTGTCATTCCATTGTAATATAGGCCTATAATACAATAATTTTTACACTATTTACGTTTTGTGATAATCATAATAAAACTGATACAATTATACACATAGGCCTATGTGTCAGGCCAAGAGTACGTTTAAATTTGCGTTTCGATAACATAGCACGTACAAAATATTTTATTTAGATTTTAGCATAGCATTGTATAGTGGTTTCAAAATGTATAAATTGTAAGAGTTCGGTCCTGTTTGGATGCAATTCAACATTGGGACATGGCCATTGCCAAATTTGCGTACGCAGATTTTATTGCATTTATAGAATGTGTTGAAAATGTATTATTACTAGCTGTAACTGTTTGAGTGCAAGGGTTAAGAGTACATAAAAGCAACATACTGCATGGGGTTACCAATATTTTTAATATTCAGTATTCAAACATTTGTAATATCGACTCTTACTTTGTTTACAAACTTTCAATAAAGTGAACCGACAACTTTCGTTGTTGTTAATTATTGCAAAATGCAAAGTGGGCGGTAGAGCGTTTTGACATAATTTTCATCAGAGTGATCAGACCTTCGTTTTGCGCCTCCCACCCGCAAATTTTAGGGCGAGCAAAACGAAGGTCTGTAGTCAGGCTATCTGAAACTTCAACCTGATACTCAGGGTTTTTACTTCCGCTAAAAGTGAAAACCCTGAGTATCAGGTGGCTGAAACTTATGATGCGCTATAGCGCTTATAACCTTTGGTACAACTGATTGATTCAATAAGTTTAATATCAATATATTTAATGAAAAATAGCTATTATGTCAAAATAAGAAAACTTAAGATTCTCACGCGAATTAGCCAACGGTGCAGACTCTAGCATAGCCTGAGTAGCAGGCGGTAGAAGCTAGAAATACCGCCTGCCCAGAAACTACACATTCTGAGTTCCGCCCACCGAACGCATGGTCCCGCCCATCTTTACAGTAATAATGTCATAATGTATTTAATTTAATTATTTGTCAAACTCACGTATTTGCACCAGTGCAAATATGCGGCTTTCACGTTTCATATCTTCGGTTCATTCAATGCTATGAAAACAAAAATACCACGTTCGATTCAGTGTAACCATATGTCCTCATTCATAGCGATAGTTTTAGTCGATGTTAACATTATAGCGACTTATGAGCATGGGCGTACCGGAAGGAAAAAATTAGGGGGGCGGAAAGAAAATTGCCCGACTTTAGTACCAAAAAATTTTTTCCGGAAAAATTATTTTGGCGACCTTCCCCCCCCCCCGTCGCCAAAAAAATTTCGGTCAGTGTACCATTTTAGGGGTCAAAAAAATTTTCCGGACAACCAATATTTTTCGGAACATAACACAAATTTTCGAAAAATCACAAAATTTGCCAAAAAATTGACTTAATTTTAGACAAAATTGACAGAATTTGTCCCATTTTTTTTTATTGCAAACCAAAATTGCCCGACTGTTGATCGAATATTGCCCGACTGCCCAAAAAACTGGGGGGCTACCGCCCCCCCCCCCGGTACGCCTATGCTTATGAGCTTTGAAAGTCAAGCGAGTTCGTGTATTATCAAATTACGCAATTGTCTGAACAAAAATATAGACGAGCCATTCCTTTCGCCGAACATAACTTCGGCCGTAACTTTGTAATAGTCTTGTTCCAATCGCTATCAAAAACACTACTTAGAGTGTCATTTACGAGCCTGTATCTTCAAGTCTGCACTTTTATCACGGTATTACATCTATCAAGCAACACAGTGTTGGATTGATATTCGTTATTCATTCTTCAGGACGAAGCGATTTCCGATTCCAGATAAAGATTAAAGAATTCAACGCTTAATTCTCAAATAGTACATTCGTTATTTTTTGGTTAGTGTATGCCATCACTCGATATATCGGTATCAATTTACGAAAATAACAAGGTTTATAAATACACCGCAACAGTAACTTCTAAAATTAGCACTAATAATTCTAATTCTTTACTCCTGTCAATCAAAAATTCAAAATCAACATATTCTGACCAATCAGAATGCTCCGGCAGGTTTTTAGCCAATCACGTATTTTCAGTCCACCAGTGGACTGGCAAACGAAATCATATAGAAACCCGGCAGACGGTTTTTCCCCCTGCCGCCTAACTTTTCCCGCCCTAATTTTCCCCGCCCGCAACCTCCCCTAAAAACCGTCTGCTACGCAGGCTAACTCTAGCAGAAACACGCGAACAGGCAATGTTTTTATAAGCGACCGTTAATAGTTAGTTGCAAGCGACGGTAATAACATTAACAAGGTCAAAGTGGGTCAACGTTTTATCGAAAGCGATTGACTGTTAGATTTCCTTTACAATTTAGCTTTATTGTAACTTTGTAAAGGTATAAAAAACCCGTGGAAATGGTGAATTACTAGATTGAAAATGATTATTTATCATTTTCACGTTTGAGTGATTGAAATGAGTTAACTTACACTACATCGAACGTCATGTTGATTGTCATGTTGAACCGTATGCGCAACCTCGTACCCAGGGCCTTTGCGCGGTTCAGAGGCTCTGGTACGGGAAGCAAAGGCCCTGGTAAACACTGGTCATGTGACTCCAAAAATATTGGACATTTCCAACCTCGTCCCCAGGGTCTTCCTCGTGGTGGCGCGTGAGCTGAGGAAGACCCTGGTAAAATACGATGAAATCTCCAAGATTCTTGGAGATTTATCGCATGCGCAGTAACGACAACGTTATGTTGCTGACTACAATTAGCGCTGGCGCTTACGATTTTCTTGCTTAAAAATATACATGTTTTGTTGATTGTTTATGTATTTATTCTCAAAGTTTTAACAAATTTTTCGAAAAATACTTCAGATATAAGCTGTGAACACACATGTACACAAAACTGTGCAACATTCATCATCATATTGTATCAATTTGTCGGAGTATGACGCTCATATTTGTGACATCGTTTTGTTCGCTTTGGCAACCCTTGTATATACCAGATGCTGTTCGGCTTCAAATGCGGCTGAATAAACACTGATAGTGTTGCCTGGAATATGAAATGATATTGACTGATTGTTCTGTATATCAAGGTATGTACTGTACATTTATACTGAATATATTTTCACACGAGTTTCAAACTATTTCAGCCTTATGAACAATGAGATTACATCACTAACATACAGTCATACAGAAAGACTCCATATTTTCTCATCAAATCTGTTTATCGTTACA